GGGATGGAGGGGCTCTAAGTTGTGAGGTGCGCGGGTCTCTGAAAGCTGCAGGACTCGTGAGGGGCGGGCGGCTGAGGGCTGTGGGGTGCGCGGGGCTGAGAGGCGCTCGGAGATCCATGAGGGGCTGTAGTTTGTGAGGAGTGTGGGGCTGTGGGTGTCTCTGGAGCTCTGAGGGGCTGAGAGCGGAGGCGGCCTGAGGGGCTGTGTGACATCCTTGAGGGGCTTTAGGGGATGAGGTACATAGCGCGGGTGGCTGTGGCGCTCGGAGCCGTATTTTTCCGCCCGGCACGGCGCTGGGGCTGCCCGGACAGCGCGAGGTGCCCGGACCCGGCGTGGGGCGGTGCGTCCCGGGGAAGCAGCAGCCTCGCCTCCCCTCGGTGCCAGCGGGGGTCCCCGCCGGGCAGGGGTTGAGGCTCGGCTGTGTCCCCCTTCTGCTGCAACCCCTCGCGTGACTGGTGAAGGATCAGAGGGTCCCGACTAAGGCTGGCTGAGACTCCCCGTGGCCGGAGCGCAGCCATCGGCAGCCCCCGTGAGGAGGGGGGGGGGTCTCGGGGCAGCGAAAGGAGCAATCACTGGGGAGGGAACTGGGTTAATCTTAGTGGCTTTTGCTGCCAAGATTGCCTTGCGTGCGTTTCTTCCTTGTCAAGATTGGCTCTTTTTTAATGTATTTCCCCTAGTGGGGAATTAAACGCTGAAGTCCCTCTAAAAGTTGTGTATCTAAGCGGTGTGTTTTGGCTGCAAAGAAAATTCGGGGTGAAGGGGATGAGGAAAGCCGTCTCTGTCAGGTTTTAGGTCAGTACCCAGCCTTACAGGTGTCGATTTCTTGTGAATGCAGGATTAAAGGAGAGGTGGTCATGTCCCAGGAGGACAGCCACGAGTGGGAGCTGAGCAAGGAGAATGTGCAGCCCCTCAGGCAGGGGCGGGTGATGTCCAGCTTGCAAGAGGCACTGGCTCAACAGGACTCCTCCAGCCACACTGCTGTGCAGCTTAAAAAACAGTAAGTGATGTTATAACAGCTCCTTTTCCCTTATCTTCCTCCCTTCTCATTTTATCTATATGTTCTTTAACTGTATTAGTCTCATAGGAATTAAAAAAAGGTATAAAATAAGTTTGATAACTGATGTCTGCTATTACCACACTCTAGAATTTTAGAACTACTCACTGCAGGTGCTGTGTAGTAGAGACTTCAACTTTTTAGGTTTGCAATGGAGCATTTAAACAGCAAATAGTAGGGAGATTTAGCTGTGCTTTTTAATAAATAATTAACTCCTATTTTGTAATATACAAGATAAATATACAGTGATACAAATGTATTTATTGGATGAATAATGTTATGTTTTAGGGAGTTTGAAGCAGAAATACGATTTTACTCTGGAGATGATCCTCTGGATGTGTGGGAGCGGTAAGTTTCCTTTTCTTTCAGAAAAAAGTTGAACAGTCAGATATCCTTGTAAAAGCAAGGGAAACACATTCTAATTTAATAAGAAACTCATTGAAAGCTAAGTTCTATAGTTGTTTTTAAATATTAGATTATGTTTCAATGTTATGCCTATTTTTTTCTTAATGTATTTATATTTTATAGGTGCTTATTAAGAACTGACTTGCTATGAACACATTCTCTCTCTAGGTACATCAAGTGGACAGAGCAGGCCTTCCCTGGGGGTGGCAAGGATGGCAACCTTGCAGCAGTTCTGGAAAGGGCAGTGAGAGCCCTCCATGGGCAGCAGCAATACTACAAAGATCCTCGCTATCTTAATCTCTGGCTCAAGTTTGTGAGTGTTTTGGGAACATCTCTTGGATGCTGCTTTTCCTTGGGACCTTGTCATAATGTTTACACACACCTAAGCTGATTCTGGTGACGAGAGTCTTGTACAACAAGATGCTATATTAGATATATTTTTCTGCAAACATGTTACTCTTGAATTCTGCTTCTCATTTCCATTCCCATTTCTATTTTTTAGGGTTGTTCACTTTGGACAGCTACAAATGCCAGATATTTTTGTTTTGGAAAAGCTGCCTTGAATAAATAGAGTTCAAATATTTATTTATGGAGAAAGAGAAGTGGTTTAAAGATACAACATCTAAAATGTATTTGTCCTACCAGATATTTTAGCTTCTAGCCACATCCTTTTAAACTCTAAACCTTGCTAAGCGTGTTATGGTCCAGCCCTGTCTCTCTATTGCTATAATTTTTGTTGTCTACTTCTTTTCAAAGCAGCTTTTTCCCAGCTTTAGCTTGCTGAGCTAATTTACCAGCTCCAAAACTGGCAAGGAATGTGCTATACTTCATCTGAAGCTAAAATAACTGTTCATTCTCATGAATACTAATATGGTGTAATTCAATCATTGAATTACCTAACATTCAAATAAGAAATGATAAAATTCTGTGTACTGGCCTTACAGCTGCTCCTGTCAGATTAGTATTGAAGTCATTGGGGTCTTGCTGGAGGCCTTGAAATGCAGATTTTGACTGGGTCCCTCTGCAGTTCTGTGTCATTACAGACATACTTGGGTTGTTTCAGGGCGATTGCTGCAATGAGCCCTTGGATCTATACAGTTACCTGCACAGCCAGGAGATCGGCACCACACTGGCCCCACTCTACATCACCTGGGCAGAAGCACTCGAGGCCAGGGGCAGCTTCAGGAAAGCAGATCTCATATTCCAGGAAGGGCTCCAGCGCAAGGCTGAGCCTTTGGACAAACTCCAGGCTCATCACAAGTAAGGGAAGAACTTAGGTGCTTACCTGAATTCCTGGGATAGGGAAGGTTATCCTGACTTCTCCAATGTTTTTGTTCTAGGCAGTTTCAGGCCCGTGTTTCTCGGCAGACACTACTGGCACTTGAGGAAAGTCCTGATGGGGACAATATGGGGTTGCTGGAAATTGCAGAGCCTCAGAGAAGCTCACTGGCAGATCTCAAAGGCAGAGGGAAGAAGAAAGTGAGAGCCCCCGTTAGTCGTGTGGGAGATGCAGTTAAAGGTACATTCAAGAGCTAAAACAACTTGCTATTGGAGGAGTTTCATCTCTTTAAGATGAGATTTGCGATTGAATGTGACTGTTGAAGGTAATTGATATAAATCTTCTTGCTTGTAGCCATGAACCCAAACAGAAGCTGCCAGCCTCGGGCTCCTCTGCAAGTTCCAAATGCTCCAAGTTTTGCTGTGTTTGATGAAAATTCTGTGTCTGGACCCGAGATTCCCACACTTACAGCACAGTCATGGCCAGCACCTCCAGTTCCCAGGGCCAAGGAGAATGAGCTCAGCGCAGGACCGTGGAACTCAGGCAGGGTAAGGATGCTCAAAGTAAACGGGGGAAAGAGAGGAAGTTGTGTATAAGCTGATGTCTTCTAAACTTTGAGAGAGAGGTAGTGTCTCCTTTGCCTGTGGTTTGTGTCTATTGCAAATACAGATTTAATGATAGAATTGTGACATTGTTTGGGTTGGGAGGAACCTTACAGATGATCCAGTTTCACCTTCCACTAGCCCAGGTTGCTCCAAGCCCCATCCAACCTGGCCTTGGACACTTGCAGGGCTGGAGCAGCCACAGCTTCTGTGAGCAACCTGTGCCAGGGCCTCATCACCCTTCCAGGGAAGAATTTCTTCCCAGTATCTCGTCCAAAGCCACCCGGCTTCGGCTTAAGGCCATTCCCC